CCCACAGTGGTAACTATCAGATAACTGTTAGTTCAGGCAAAGTGTCATGAAATGGCATGTATTTGGAAACTGAGAGTTACTCCATAAAAATATTAATTTCTGCATAATTTACATGGGCAAATCCCTAACAGTCCAGAATTAATACTCCGGTGTTTAGTGGGTGCAAAACAGGTTTTGCTGTCACTGAGGACCTTAAGAATAGGAAAATGTGGGAAATGTGTCTGATCTGATTTCATCTACTGGCATGAAACTGTATCTTCGCTTAGTTATCCGGGAAAAAAATCTTCATCAAAATCTTCAGTGATCCAGGCCAGTCAAATAACTCAACGGATTAAAGCACCTGCAAGCAGGCACAGCAGCCAGGGGTTCAATTCCCAGACCTGCCATGCTGGCCCTGACCCTGGGGCACACTGAGAGGGCAATTGAGACTGAGCGCAGTGGCACACACCTGTAATCCCAGCTCTTAGGTGGCTGTAAAGAAGCGGATCACTATGAGTCTGATCTAGTAGTGAGACCCTGAACACCCTGTAGACTCTTCCCTAGAATACAAAAAAACAAAAAACAAAAAACAAAACCCCCCCAAAAAACTTCAATGAAATTTATTTCTTGCTTTTCTGTTGCTTATATAGACCAAGTGTTTTCATTGTTGAACTTGAACCTTGCCTCATCTGATTGCAGCAGTGGTATCTTGAAACCATCTCACAGTAATCTAAGAAGCAGCCCTTTTTTCTCATCTGCATCACTGTGGTGGTAAAATGAATGGGATGCACAGATCCTCTGTTCATCTGACCTTTACGGATCCAACTGAAGCGAACCCACTTATCTCTGAACCAAACTAGGCATAAAGTTCAGCTACCCTGGGACTAGATCATCTATCAGAAACACTAAACAGGCTAGTGAAGCTCACCAAGGGTCCTAGAAAATAATATCATCGTGAATTTGTCATGGAAAATTACATGCAGCATAGATGTGCAAATTTTCTTGACTTTTTCATGGGTTCTAGAGCTTTGCTGACAGAAAGAGGAACCGGTTCCTCATTTTGTATGTAGAAATGAGTGGCATTTGTGACCTGTACTCTAATCTACTTTTCTTTGTTTTTTTCCCCTCACAGCTCTCCACATTGGGGATTTTTCTCTTGCTTTCTGGTTAGGTGCCAGAGCCCCTCATCTTTCTGTACATCATCTTTACACTTGGTCTCATATTTCTCATTCTCACTAGGGTCAAAATGAGTGGCAATGTTAAAATTGTTGTCCTTTCTCCAAAGAATGTTTTCATTTTGTAGGAGGCCAGTCTCAGTTCATGGAAGGAAGGGCTGGGGAAGAATTTCATGTATCCCTCAGTTTGTGGCTGTGAAGGTTGTAGCGTAGCAGATGTTCTTAGTGATGGCTGATCTTCCAGCACTTTGAAATAATGGTCCTCAGCACTGCCTTTTCTACTAGCCCTTCAAGGTCTCTTGTGGCCCTTTCCTGAATAGTTCTGAGTGCTACAGAATAGCCTTGCAGGGAGGAGCACAGCTTCTGTGGAACCATTTGAGCATACCGGAGTTTTTTCAAAAGGAAACTGGGTATAGTCCAGGCAGCATCCCTCAAGCGAATGCAGTGACGCTTGATGGATAGTTCATGTTCTGATCACTTTTTATTTGTTCTTCAGTTCAGTTCAGTGATTAATTCCAGTGTTCCCATGTGTAGGTAGACAGTTAATGGAAAAGGAATAATTAAAAATGGGAGGTTTCTTATCATAGCTTTTGCTCTCGTGCCTTATTCTGCTAATGTTTGCTTTCGAGTACTATTTTAGACTTCTCTGGCCTCCTCCACATCCACTCCTGCACATTTCCACCATACACACATGTTTACATTTCCATTGGGAACTGTGGACTAAAAACCAGTGAACTTTTTTTCTTTGTGACTATTTGGGTATAGATGCCATTAACACTTTCCCACTTGACCAGTTCTGGGGAGGATTTAAGAAGTCTGGAATCCTTTGGGATTCTGGATCCTTTGTCGAATTTACTGCATCTTGTTAACCTAAGAAATGGCAAATTAAAATAGAATTCTTATCTATTCTGGAAAATCTTTGCATTTTTTTATTAAAACATTCAGAAATATATTTGAATCATAATGTAATTCAATTATTTATTAATATTAATATTATCCTTTTACCAGAAGTACATTTGTGTCTCATTTTTCTATTTATTGATTTAGCAGTGCTACAGATCAAATCTAGGGTGTTGAACATGCTCTACCACTGAGCTGTACTCCTAGCCCCTTGTCTCATTTTCAGATACAGTTGGATTCTTCAGTCATTTTAGCTTGGAATGCAAATCCTTCATGGGTTAGATGCCTAGGGGCCTTGTGAATGTCAGAACAGGTATACTCTTTTTTATTAGCTTCAGCATTAAATTGAATTTATTCTCACTTTAAAAATACCTTTATAAAGCAACAAAAATTAGATACACCTTTATTTTGGAAAACTTGGAAAATCCAGAAAACTGTGTCAAGATAACAAAAGATTTTAGTATATGATAAACTAAAAGCATTCATAGAATATTGCGTAGTTTCTCTTAGATGAGAAACTCTCTCTACATATTTATCAAAATACAAGATAGATAAATAGGAAGATAAAATAGATGGGGAACAGGAGGGGCTAGGAGAGGCAGAGTAGATGGGAAAAAACAATTGAAGGAGAGAAAACAGATAAAAATAGAGCTTTTGCAAATGGGAAGGAGACCAAAAGTTGGAAGGAGCAGGAAAGAGGGAAGGAGTAGGACATGGAAAAAAGGGAGAAAAGGATAAGATTTACTGCATACATTCAGCAACCCCACAAACAACAGAACAGGTATATTTGTGTGGGTCAATGTCTGCATGTATCTGTGTGGAGCTGCAAACTTGAAAAAAAGGATAGTCTGTATTTTCATTCTAGAGACAAATTTTGACCCTTTGAGCATAAGTACAAAAGGAGTCTGGGGGTGTAGCTCAGTGGTAGTGCTTGCTTAACATGTATGAGGTGGTGGGTTCAATCCCCAACTCTACACAAGTACAGATAAAAAAAAACCTCTAGTGATTTAAGTACAAAGGGAAGATAAAAATTTGTCTTGATGTGGTTCCCAGAAAATATGCAGATTAAAAAGGGAACACATGGCTCTACCTAATGAGAAGACAGACCCTTCCTTCTAGTATTGATCATGTCCCAATGGAAAAGGTACACTTTACTCCTACTGCCACACTCAGGGAAAGATTATGCAATCTGTTTTCTTCAAGAGGTTTCTAAAAATCTTAGGATGAAATGTTTTTAGAAGCAGCGTTTCTGTCCAGAAGGTGGGCATCTGGTTCTCCATAGACAGGTTAGGTTACTGGTATTGTTGACTGGCAAATTACCAACTTGTTCCTGTATTTCATAATACTTCTGGTTTCAAACATACATTTTGGATCTAATTTTTTTCTTGTTCTTGTTGCGGAACTGGGGATTGAACTCAGGCCCTTATGCTTGCCAGGGAAGCGCTTATTCTACAGAGCCATCTCCCTGGCCCTCAAACATACATACTGGAGACTGTAAGAAGTCTCATGACTTTTCAGTATAATGCTTACATTTTAAAATTAACAATCTTACTTTATTTTTTTAAATTTTTTTTAATGTATTTAGTACAGGTCTACAGGGTCTCACTACACAGATTGGACTTGTAGTGATCCTTCCTGTTTTTCAGCCTCCCAAGCACTGGGATTACAGATGTGCGCCACCATGCCCAGTCTCATTGTTGTCTCAGTGTGCCCCTGGGGTGGGGCCAGCACAGAATGCCAGGGATCGATCCCCCAGCCCTTACATTTGCCTAAGTAGGGCCCTTAGTCTGCTGAGCTATCTGGCTGGCCCAACAATTGTATTTTACATCTTGATGATGTATCATTATATAACTATTATTTCCTTAATACACACTGAAATAGATTTTAGATTGACTCTGTTTTAATATTGTCTTTGCTCTACATATCTGTAAAGTTTAGATATGCTATGAATATCACAACTTTAAAATTTTAATGTACAGCATTTATAAATATGTATTTTCTACAAATAAATTAAAGTGAATATACACTATTTAAAATAAAAAATCATACTTTAAACAATTGCATTATATTAATAATTACATTAACAATTTTATATTAAAACCCCAACAGGTAATCAGCATCTTCACTAGGAACAGTAGCACATAAGATAGTGGTTGAGGTTAGCGAATTGAAATTTTGTATTTAAAGTTTTGCTGCTGAGAGATGAGTTGTAGCAGGAAGGCCAGAAGGCTTATCTGGAAAAGCCACCTAAAGCAAAGAAAAACCTAAAGGCTCTGGCCAGTGTGGGTTCACAGGCTCTGAGTTCAGAGATGAGCTGAGAAGTGCAAGTTCAAACAGCAAAAGCCAGGAACTGAGGCCGAGGGCAACAGGCAGATGTGGGCAGAAACCTGGGCAATCAATGTGGCATTGAGGCTGCAGGCAGTCAGGCTCCAGTGGGCTGCAGCAGGGAAGGGGGCCGCAGATGGAAAGACTTGCGACAGTGTTTCTAGTGAGTACAGAAAATAGACAACGAAGATGAAGCGCATCAGAAAGGCCCGCCTGGTTCTGGTGGCTTGTTGCCGACATTGTGTGGGTCAATGGGCCTCAACTGCACCCAGGCCTGTGAGCGCCCTGTGACTGGCCTGCGAGTATTATGGATGCGCTCAGGTTAGAGAGTGGGCCTGCGTGTGCCCCGTGCATCTCCCGGTGGGTGCATCTCCCGGTGGGTGCTGCCTGCTCAGCTTGACTCTCATTTCCCATTAGGGCTTCGCTCTGACTCACTGATGGCCCGCCACGTGTCATTAGGCCGCTCAGCTGCTGCTTTCATTTCTCCCAAAGGTATACAGAGATTTGTGTCTTGGCAGTGAGTTTTTTTCTCCCGAGAGCTGGAGGAAGTGGCCTTTTCAGTTTTGTTTGTTGAGCTGAATACCTTCGGTGTTTTACAGTTTCATTTTTCCTTTTTCACAGGTCTTCGATCCCGATGATCTTTACTCGGGGGTTAATTTCTCCAAGGTTCTCACTACTCTTTTAGCTGTCAACAAAGCAACAGAAGGTAAGCAGGGTTTGGGATCTGTGATTTCTGGGTGACATTTTGGGATCTGTGTGTTTCTGATTACCCTGGAAGCCAGCTATTGCCAGGATTATTGGATTGATACAAATTTCACTCCTCCCTTCAAAGAAACCCTAACACACATCAAATTCTTTCGTCTTTCATGAGTTAAGCATACCCATAAACATACTCATCACAGAGTTGTTCTAATGCCTTCAATGTAAAAGTAAGAACCAGAAAACTATTTTGTTCAAAACTCTTGAATAGCCAGCTAAATATAGCAAGACAGAAAATAAAAAGGAAAAGACTAGTTCCTTCTTTTTTTATCAAGTTTACAAAATAAAGCCATCACTTCCCCTTCCCCAGCAGAGACCTACATTTCTCATTGTTTTTCATATATCATTGTCTCTGTAAAGGGACCGCCTCAGGAGACAAGCACTCACTCTGAAATTTCAAGTTCATAGTGAATGAAAAGAGTATGTTTTATTTAAATGTGTAACACCCACAACAGTGGATGTTATTAAATAATAGATCCCAGGAATTAAGAAGCAAACAATGATAAATTTCACATGGGACTTTACAACTTCAGCCGTTTCCATACATTGGTAGTAATAATCAGTGTTCAAATGGTTCGAGCCTTTTCCCTGGGTCATGGCTGGCCTAAGACGCTTAGGTGGTCTCATTCAGTATCTTCAGCACGTCTGGGTGTAGGTATTACTAGTAGTGATATTAATTCCATAGCCTAGATGAGGAAAGTCTGCATTTGCCAAACTAGAAAGGAAGTGGCCGAGCTGGGATCCAAACCTACGTGTCACTGCAGAGCCCTTAGGGCCACACATGAATCTTGTTGCTGCAGATGATGGGTGGCCAACAGGCTGTGTACCCAGCGCTGCCAGGCACTACAGAGCAGCAGAAGGTATACTTCCTGCCCTTGAGAAAATTGCAGTCTGTTTAGGCAAACTCACTTTACCCACGTGAGACAATCAGAGAAGAGCAGACACTACAGTCAAGTGCCAAATAGGATAGAACATCGAGGAAGCTATCAAATGATTACAATTTTCGTCAAAAGAGCTGTATATAATAGCAAGACATGTAAAAATAATTCTTCAAAGTTATTCTTTTGCTGTTCAGAAAAAAAAATTCTCTTGAGCTATTGTAAGGCTACAGCAGAAAGTATAGCTAATTCAAGTAACTATATTTAACACACATGACAACTATCCAGTTCTGGGTAGGGAGGATCGTATAATTCTAACATTATGCCACACAAATTATATGTTCTTTTGCCAAACTCTCCTAGCAAGTTTTACAGTCGTCTTCCCTTGCCACAGATATTTATAAAAATACAAGGAGGTGAAAGTTAAAACCCACGGCATCAAGGAAATTACTTGGATACTGAGCTTGTCGCCTAGGGAATGTTTGGGCTTTAGACTTTTGCAGTTTATATCTTTTTAAAAATAAATGGAGAAGAAAAGAACCCTCATTTGAATTTGTCAAGAAGCCAGCTCCTCTCTTTAGTACACGCTCAGCATACTGAAAACATCCAGCTCAGCTCTGGCCTGATCGAATTTCACAAGGTTTCAAGGAAGCAAAGATTCCTGAGTTTGATTTTCAAAAACAAATTATTTTAGTATCATGATTGCATCTTCCCAGACACATGCGTTCTTTCTCATGCTCGCTCTCTCCCCCCTGTCTCCCACTGGGGAGATCTTTACATTATATATGCTATATATATATTGTTCTATGCAAGAAAAGGGCTGTTGGGTTGTGCGCCATAAACAAAGAGAGAAATTTGAAGTATTTCAAAGTAATAAGAGCCACACACAGCTGTTTGAAACCCAATATAGTTCTGCCTTGGCTAACAGGGCATCCTGTTGCAACTGGTTGAGGAGGGAAGGGTTGGAGGGAAATAGACTAAAAGAAAATGTGGCTCTGTCACTGTTTCTCATTCTACTGGAGATCAGGGGCCAGTAAGGTTAAGAGCGCGTTGCCCACCCCCAAGGGAGGCAGGAGGAGATGAAATCCAGTTGGCATGTTCATAACAATAACAGAATTACAGTTAGGATGCCTTTGATAATGTCCCATGAAAGATAATGGTGCATTGTAGGTGGCATTTTGACACGAGTGCTTCCTTTATCATGCCTTTTCCTCTTTTCACAGATCAGCTAGCAGAAAGACCATGTGGATGTTCCTCTTCTCTGAGTGCTCCTAATAGTTCTCAGACAAGCCCTCAGGGAGTGGTCTCCAGTGCAGCTCCAGGGCCGCAAAAGCAGGCAAAGGCAGTGGTAAGCATGGCCTCCAATTCCCCCTGCCTGTTCTAAAATCCGTAGAACTGGATCAGGATCCCACTTGTACTTCCATTTGTGGCAAGAGAACCATTCTGTTTGATTTGGGTGTCACCAGATGAGCTGGGCACTAATTCAGGCTGCCTGATGGAACAAAAGAGGCACGGGGGACCCCGAGTCAGTCAAACAGAGTTGAAGCCCCAGCTCTGAGGCTTGCTCATTTGCATGCTGGAGAGGTTCACGATGTAAGTCATGGTGGCTTCTCCTAATGGCACTTTGCTGTTATTTTCCCTATCCCTAGACTTATTAGAGTTAACCGTACTTGGTGCTTAATAAGCAACCAATAGTCATTCCTATTCTGTCACAATCGTCATCTTTATTTTTCTTTTTAAAGTTCTATTGAGCAAGACCCACTTTTCAATATTAGCCTAGGATAAACTTCTATATTGGGATCTCCCATTTGTCTTTTTCAAATGGAATCTTACATGGGTTATTTAATGATTCTTAATGCCTCAGTATATCTATCTGCAAAGTGGGAATGATAATATTATCTACTTCTGACATAATATGTGGAAATGACTTGGCAGAGACCTCAGACCATTAACATACACATTAACTGTTAACTGTTATCTCCTATAATTTAAAGACAAACTATCTCTTTCCTCTAGACCACCATTGTGTTGTCTTAGGGCCTCTGCTGCAGCCTTCAGCAGAGTCTGTGTGGGGCAGGCCTGCTCTTGTCTACATCTGGACTTCTGGAACTCTCTCTCTCTCTCTCTCTCTCTCTCTCTCTCTCTCTCTCTCTCTCTCTCCTTTTTACATTTCCATCTCTGCCCCTCCATCTTTGTAGGACTTTGTCACATTACAGTTGGAAAGGACTTTGGAGATCACCTAAAACAGCTCTTATTTTATACACTAAGAGATTGAAGGTGAATTCTTGGTCCCTAGTCACCTTCGCGCTGCCACCTACTAGCTCCTCCATTTGAGTACTAAAGTCTGTCTTTCAAATGGCCATAATAATTGTATCCTTGCATGCTTACAGAGCAAGCGCACTCTGAGTAAAATGTGGCTGAGGTGCTCTTGGGCCACCTGAAAGGTATTGTTATTCTGAATGGACGCTATTGACTCCAACTCCGTGAATATTCACCGACTCTTAGGGATGCCTGCATCACAAGTTATGCAAGGACACTGAAGTCACCATGGCACTTGTTAAGAGTGACTGTGAGTCAGAACCAGAGCCACTGTCAGATCCCATGATTGACTCAGCTTCAACGCCTTTTTACCTTTTTTTTCTTTTTCTTTTTTTGCAGAACCAGGGATTGAACTCAGGCCCTTGTGCTTGCCAGGGAAGCGCTTATTCTACTGAGCCATCTCCCCAGCCCCTTTACCTTTTGTTAAGTTCTACCACATCATTTTATCTTCTTGCTCACAGCCTAAGCCTGCCTCAGTGCACTGGGCCATTTCCTAAGGGATCTGACTGCTCCACCAGTGTGGTTGTGGCCCTAGTATGTCAGGTGTTGCATATTATCAGAGACCACAGTTCATATGCTCTAGGGTTCCTTAGTTCTTGTACAAGAAGCTTTACAAAGTGGGACTCTAATCTATGGTGTCCTCCAAGCTCTTCCTCAGGGCTTTTTCCCTGATAACTCCGCAACCCAAGACTGGCCCCTCCATCCCTGTGTGGCCTTACTATCATGGTTGGCAATTCCTAGCATTTGTGGCTCTTTTGAGTCAAAGTGAGTATCTCCTCTAACTCCTGGACCAGGGCAGTAGGCATGGACCAGGAATTCCCCTTCCCCATCAAATGAGGAGCTGTCACCATGAAAACCAGAAGCAAAGAAGATCATGATGTCTCCCTCGTTCTGGTGACTTTTTTTTCCCCATAAATTTTCTGAGAAACAAATAGCAATGAGACAGTTTCAAATCAAGTTGGTAGGACAGTTTCAATAATTAACACATTGCATACATTCTTCCTAGTGGTTATTTGCTGTACAAGATGTGGACATGATATCCTATTTACAAACACCATTAGAACAAATCCCTCTATTCATTAAGAGAATGCAACTATATATCTATCCTAACCACTTTGAATACACAGATACAAAATGGACATTCATTAAGACTCAGAACATATGAGAACTTGTACTGTAACATCATGTACCTCGGTAGTGTCCCAAATTTTCTGATCAAGAAGATTATGGGGCCAAAGAGGAAAGTGATCGATGATGTAGAGTGTGCCTAAGGAGAGTCACATGGAGAGAAGACACTCTCTCAGGCTTTCACAGAGAGCACATTGGCCAAGCAATGGCCGTGACTCATCCACATGGCTGCACTGACAAAGGTTCTACAATCTGAGGTACGGGATCTCAGGATAAATCCTCAGGGCATTTCACTGACCTTCTCAGACCAAAAAGCTACAATTCTTGTTGCATAGGTCCTGCTTTACCTTGGTCTTAACCATCCAGTAGAAAAGTATGAAGACGAAATATAGGAAATAACGCCATGCTGTTATGTTCAACAAAATATTCTAAAAGAGTCCAGTAGCCCATAATATTGATTTCATGATATGGGACCTTTTCAAATTTCAAGAGGGTCACCTTCTGCCACACATCAAAAGCCTGGAGAATAGCTTTTCGAGTATTGAGTGCGCCCACCTTTGGGGTATAGTTGTGAATGCTGTAGGTGATGCGTTTTGCCTCTACTTCTGTCCAGTCAAGGCATTTGAATTTGGTTTTGATTGGGAGCTTTTATTTTGGAGGAAACACTCCATCTTCAGCTCTTTGGGTGAGCCTTTTTTTTTTTTTCCTGTCAAAAGCCACACGCATACTACAGGACATCATAACCTATTACTTCAAAAGAGTGAAGTAATATTACTCCAAAATTTAAATGGGTGGCTTGTAGGCTTTCTGAGATTCTAGATCCCTTTGAGAAGTTGATTAACTCTGTGGAACCGTATGCTCTCTTATACTGTATATAAGAAAAACTCATGTGTTTGAACTCGTTTGAGCAAAGATCCATTGTTCTTACCAGGTTCTCTAAAGGTCTGTGACTCTCAAAAAATTTAAACCCAATCCACATGAGACACGATAAGAACTGCTAATTTAGATAACTCTGGGATAGTCAACCTTTGCTTATGACTGAGTTTTAGTGAAATTAAGATGTTCTTAGTGACTGAGAGGTGGGGGCAGGCAGATTTTTTAATGAAAGAAAGTTAGTACCTAATATGAGGACTAACTTTACTTGTTGAGCAGAGGCAGGGTAGAATCACTTATTATTCCATTTGGTCACCTGGTCATATGAAATAGGTACCTTTAGATTACTGGAGAAAAGAACAGGAAATGGAAGCTGTGAGCTATAAAAAAACCTCTCTTACTGGGCTAGCAAGATAGCTCAGCAGACTAAGTGCCTGCCACATGCAGTGCTGGCCTCATCCCCTGGGCGCACTGAGCCTATGACAGAGTACAGGTGTGGTGGTGCATACCTGTAATCCCAGCGCTGGGGAGGCTGAGAACAGAAGGAGCACCACGAGTCCAACCTGCATAGTGAGACTATGTACCAAATACACAAATGAAAATAAAATAAAATAAAAACCCTCTTTGGCAAATGTGAGGTTTCTATGTATTTTCAAAGGGTTTATTGTTTCCTCTTAAAGCCCATTCACAGACTCCTAAGTTAAAAAGTCAGATGGACCTGGGGTTTTATCTTTGGTATCCTCATTTTACTTGCATAAATTCAGATAATTTCTATCCCTGCCTCATTTATATGGGTGTTTAATCAGGTGCGGTGTTTGTTTCTCTAGGAGATGACGGAAAATGGAAGTCATCAGTTGATAGTGAAGGCAAGATTCAACTTCAAGCAGACTAATGAAGATGAACTATCAGTCTGTAAAGGGGACATCATTTATGTCACTCGCATTGAAGAAGGAGGCTGGTGGGAAGGCACACTAAACGGGAGAACAGGCTGGTTCCCCAGTAATTATGTCAGAGAGATCAAATCCAGTGGTGAGTAAAGCTCTTACAAACCTTTTTTGACTGTGACTTTCTTGGTATCCTTACTGAAAGTCTTGTGATTTTAATTGGCTAGCACAAACTGTTTATATTTATATGTAAATATCAAACATAAGATTAGAACACAATGGGGAAAATTGTAGTTAGATGTATTGAAACAAAGTTGTATTTAGATTATATCAAGGCAGTAGAAATCTAAAAGAGTGAAGGAATTCAAAGCTCAAACAACTGCCTCCCCCTTAACTGTGTCCCTTTCCATCTAGTAATTCTAGCCATTTAATACAGTACATAGTACTCAAAGGATCACCATGGCACAATGCAGCAATAGGAGAGGCCAAGTGTCAACTTCCTTTTTTAGTTCCAAGTCCTTTAAGCAGATCTAAAATTAAGTGCCTGAGATGTATGAGAGATAGAGGGCTGCAGCAAGCTTTATGAACAAGGTTGCCCTTACTGCATTACTGATCTCTGGATGCTCACCCCTGGTCCTCATCATACCCAGAGAACAGTTTCTATTTTTTTTTTGAGACCGTGTCCCACTATGTAGTTCAGACTGATCTTCAACTTACTAGGTGGTCCTGGCTGGCCTTCAGTGCTCAGCAGTCCTCTTGCCTCTTCTTCTTGAGTGCTAGGATGACAAGCATGCACCACCATGCCTGGTCAGAGAATAATTTCTAATTATTTTTCAGTAGTCTTTCTTAGAATGTTTTGCCAGGCAGGCACTTTGCCACCAAGCTATCTCCCCAGCCCTCTTAGAATGTGTTGGCTACTTGCTTTTTACAAATAAGAAAGAAACCACTGCTTGTATTACAAAACAAAACAAAACAACACAACAACAGCCCCGCCCCCATCCAAACTCTAAAATCCTGATACCATAATTTTTTTTTTCGGAACCAGGGATTGAACTCAGGCCCTTGTGCTTGCCAGGCAAGTGCTTATTCTACTGAGCTATCTCCCTGGCCCAGCTATCTCCCTGGCCTCAAAATATGTTCCAGATAGATGAAACAGTATTCAGCAATTATTCTTTTTCTTCACTTCTTAATAATACTTACCCAAGAACTTCAAGTTAATAGGTCCTCAGTGTGTTAACTTCTTTTGTAGGTGTCATTGCTTTTGTTAGTACCTCAAAAGTGATGCTATTAGGGAATAAAAGTACAGACTCACTGTCAATTAAATATTGCAGAAATATACTGTAGTTAAGATTTTTCCCCTTCACTCTTTCACCTACCCAATGTTAGAAGCTTTTCCCTAAAACATTTAAGATGGTTTGCATAGTTTTTGTGATCTGGGTTGGGTTTTCAGGGGCATCTCCTTTAATGGAATGTGTTTGCTAGCCATTTTATAATATTTATGTATGCTTAGACTTCTCAGCATTTTCATTTATTGCAGTGTTAGGGATTAAACCCAGGGCTCTGAGCATGCTTAGCAAGCACTATACCACTCAGCTCTAGCTCCAGCTCTCAATATTTTTAATTACTGGGAACAGAGATATTTCTGTTAAACCTCAAAGTATTTTCTCAGGCCTTGACTGGAATTTCCTTGGATTTGATGACTGTCCCAGCTGATTTTTACCCACTGCTGCATAGTTCTATTGATATCATCTGGTTGCCAGGTCCTGTATGCCATTTCCAGACTTACTCTGATGTTGTTCTCTGACTTGGTGTCTCTCTCTGAAAAACCAAAAAGCAGCAGTCTTTGCCTTGTCCGGGACTGTCAAGCATTGTGCAGGACCTGTGGGAGGGGACAGCTATCCTCACTTGGATGGCCCTCATGCTAACGTGTGATGCCCTGCAGCAATCCAGCCACTGCTTATGGATGGCCCCACACTGTTTGCTCTGATCTCTAAGGCTTTCCTTTCAAGGTTTTCTTCTTGTCTTTAGTTTAAGACTTGGGTTAGGCTCAAATTGCAAACTTTGCTTCTGAGTAGTAGAAGAACTTCAGTAAGCTCTAGAAACATGTGAGCAGACTACCAAGGATTTAGGATGGGGGCTAGGATGTCCGTTAGTCAGGGAGTCAATTTGCAAATATATAGATCATCTCTCAACTAGCTCCTGTTCTTGTCTTCTAATCTGGACTCAGTAGCTGGAGTGATTCTTTTAAAGTGTAACTTGGAATTGTTGTGGCAGGGTGCCCCTGAAATCCCAGCACTCTGGGAAGTTAAGATGCAAGGCTCACAAATTCAAGCCCACCTTGGGCAAATTAACAACTCAGTGAGATTCTATCTGAAAATAAAATATAAAAAAGGCAGTTAGGGGTATAGCTCAGTGTGAAGTCCCGAGTCAGTACCACACCACACACATACACATAAGTAACTTGGATCATGGCTCTGTATCTGAAAAAGGATGAAGGCCAAGGTTAGCACGGTAGCCTCCAAGGCCCCCATGGCCCCTGGCTTCCTCTCTGGCTGCTCTCCCCCTACTCCTTCCGCTCAGCCACACTGGCATCTCAGCTGCCCGTGCCCGACCAGCTCTGCCTCTTTGCTGCCTCCCATTCCATCCAGAGCTCTCTCCAATATCAGCATGGTGGCTTCTCTCCCCTTGTCCTGGTCTGCTCACTTGTCTGTTATGGTAGGGCCTTCCATGGCCACTTGGAGAAAATTAATCCCCTTCTGTCTCCCTTGACACCCTCACCCTATTCTATTTTTTCTTTATAATCTCTCTCCATCTAACATATTTATTTTTTATCTCTTACCATTAATACATAAACACCAGAAAAGCAATAATTTTTAATTTTTTTAATACTGGGAATCAAACTCAGGACCTTCTGCTTGCCAGGCAAGCACTCGTGCCACTGAGCTACATCCCTGGCCCTGTGTGTTTTGTTTATGTACAGCACAACTCTGTAAAATGAGATCAGATAGCTCAAGTCTACTCAGTGAGTTCCTTCTGCTCCTCAAGGACCCTCACCCCTGGGCCCTTCCAGGTTAGTAGTCAATACAGGTCTACACGCAACTAACTGGAATAGGGTAGAACAGACTAGAACAGATAGAGCTCTGTTTTATTAGTATGCATCTGCAGTATATAAAGCTTACATTCTTCTTAGGAAATAGGTACATGTACTTAACATATCTTGATTCTTTTTTTATTCCACTCCCCTCGCATCTTTCTCCTCTATACCTAGATCTCCTTCTTTTCCATTATTGTTGTTGTTATTTTATTTGATGTTTGTGACATATAATGTTCATATTCATTGTGGGTATTTGGTACATGCACATGATGCATGTTAAATCTTTTCATGTCTACGCTCTTGGTCTCTCGAACCCCTTTACATTTGCAAAAGATCTATCTCCTGGATTTTTCTTATCAATCTTTTGTTTTGCTCTTTGTAGTTTACATTACTCAAATGAGAGAAACCATACTGTATTTAAGCTAGTGCATCTGATTTATTTCACTTAACATTGTGTTTTCGAAGTGCATCCATTTTCCTACAAATATCTTAATTTATCTATCTTTGTAGCTGAGTAGCATGTTTTTTAGCTGAGCAGCATTGTGTTATGTGCAACTATCACATTTTCCTTCTGCAGTCTTCTCTTGATGGAAATACAGACTGCTTCTTGGGTTTAGCTATTAACTAAGATGTGGTTGGAATAGTAAATAATGATAAGTAACAACAACCTAAGAGAAAAGAAGCACCTGAGCTGGGTGTTGAAAGATGGAAGAAGATTCTTTTTCCATAATTTTATTGAGAAACGAATAGCAATGAGACAATTTCAAATCAAATTGGTAGGACAATAATTAACACATTGCATACTCTCTTCCTAGTGGTTATTTGCTATACGAGATGCAGACATGATATCCTATTTACAAACTCTATTAGAACAAATCCTTCTATTCATTAAGAGAATGTAACTATATGTCTATCCTAACCATTTTGAATACACAGATACAAAATGGACATTCATCTGTCTCTCACTTTTGTTTAGTTCCATCATTTGAATATTATAGGTGTGTTAACTCAGTAAAATATTCTAAAAGAGTCCAGTAGTCTATAATAGTATTGAGTCTTCCGCTTGATTGGCAATGTGAGAAATTGTTGACCTGAGTCCCCTATGGCTAAACATAACAGCATGGCTTTACTTTTTATATTTCGTTTTTTACTTTTCTGCTAGATGGTTAAGACCAAGATAAAGCAAGACCTATGCGACAAGAGTTGTAGCTTTTGGGTCTGATAAGGTCAGTGAAATGCCCTGAGGATTTATCCTGAGATCCTGTACCTCCGATTGTAGATCCTTTGTCAGTGTCAGCCATATGGATGAGTCACGGCCATTGTTTGCCAATGTGCTCTCTGTGAAAGCCTGAGAGAATGTTTTCTCTCCATATGACTGTCCTTAGGCACACTCTACATCATTGATCACTTTCCTCTTTGGCCCCATAATCTCCTTGGTCAGAAAATTTGGGACATTACTGAGTTACATGACGTTACAGTACAAGTTCTCCTATGTCCTGAGTCTTAATTGAACTTGGAAGGCTAGGGCTAAAATGTTGACTTTCCTTGTGGCCCTCCTTTTTCTCTAATTTTGGTCTGCAAACTTAGGTTGTTAACCATCCAGAAGAGAAGTTTATTGTTATTACCGTACAACCTAGGCTTTTAAGCTTAACTTCACTATCTGTCTGAATATCAAACTTCTTAGGCATATCATAGAACAGGTATTTTTCTTTTTTTAATTTTTTTATTATTTATTTATTGTTTGACATCACTTATTTTTATTTAAAGAAAAAAAATAAAAACAATGGTACAAAATCTCAAAACAAACTTTTAGGAGAGTAACAATGGTTAGTACATTGTGTATTGTTACTGCCAAAGTAGTTTCTCATATTACAA